ATGTTGATAGCGGGGGATTCAGTGACGGTAACACCATTGAATATTAAGTGGCAGTGGTTAGATTGTCTCTTATTGGTGATGGTCATAGCCTGGCATTTGTGTGGCACGAATGTCATTGCCCACTTGTCAGCCGAAGCCTGGATATTGTCCAGACCTTGTTGCATGTGAACATGGGCTGCTTCAGTATCTGGGGAGTCATGAATGGTGCTGAAAATTGTGCAATCATTGGCAAACATTCCCACTTGTGACCTGGTGATGGAGGGAAGGTCATTAATGAAGCAGCTGGGGATGGATGGGCAAAGGACACTACCCTGAGGAACTGCTGCCGAGATGTCTTAAAGCTGAGATGATTGACCTCCAACAAGCACGACCATCTTCTGATACCCATTGATTCCAGTTTGCCAGGGTTCCTTGATGCCAAATTCAGTTAAATGAAGCCTTGATGTCAACCGCTGTCACTCTCACCTCACCTCTGGAATTTGGTTCTTTTGTCCATGTTTGAACCAAGGCTGTAAGGAGGTAAGGAGCTGAGTGGCCCTGGTAGAACCCAAACTGGTTATTGCTGAGCAGGTGCTGCTTGATAACACTGTTGATGGCACCTTCCATCACTTTATTGATGATTGAGAGTAGATTGATGTGGCAGTAATTGGCTGGTTTGGATTTGTCCTGCTTTTAGTGCACAGGGCATACTTGGGCAATTTTCCACATTACCGGGTAGATACCAGTGTTGTAACTGTACTGGAACAGCTTGGCCAGGGGAGCAGCAAGTTCTGGAGCAGAAGTCTTCAGTACTATTGCTGGAATCTTGTCAGGGCCTGTAGCCTTTGCATTAGCCTTTACACATGAAGATTCATATAGCCTGTAGCCTTTACACATGAAGATTCATAGAATACTTTAGCTCTTTAAGGTATTGGCAAAGATCCGTAGCTCAGGTTGTGGACGAGTTGTTGACTTGCCCACCGGGCTGGCTTGTTTTTGTTCAGATGTTGTCACCATGCTAGGTGACATCAGTGGAACCTCTGATGACGCGATATTATTCTACTCTGCTTGGAATTTATACTGTCCGGTCAGTTATGGTGAGTACTGTCATTTCCCATTTTGAGCTGTATGGGTTTATACATGGGGTCCAATTCTATATATGTTTGTTGATTGAAGCATGGGTGGAGAACCATGCCTCTAGGAATTCCCGTGCGTGTCTATGTTTGGCTTGGGCTACTATGGTCACTTTGTCCCAGTTAAACTGATGGCCTTCATTGTCTGAATGTACAGATATTAGGGAGAGTTCATCGTGCCGTTTTGCTGATAGCTTATGTTTGTGTATTCTATATAGCCGTCAGAATACATGAACATCAGCTAGCGACAAAACAGTAGAATAACATCGCTTCATCGGAGGCTCCACTGATGATGTCACCTAGCATGGTGACAAAACGTCTGAACAAAAACAAGCCAGCTCGGCGAGCAAGTCAAGAACCTCATACTTCAGCTTTGAAGAAAGCCATTTAGCCTATCATGTCTACTATTTTAAATAAAATAGCCAAATTAAGGTTGATAGACCATACAGGAAGCTGTAACAGAAATATCAAAATTTTAAGGGAAATTTATCAATTTAAATAAAATATCATTTTAAGGGATGATAATGCATGCCAGCCCTTGCAATGCCCAGCGATCATATGAGGGCTGAAGAATATCAGTGAACACCATACGGTCCTTCTCCAAGGACACACGGATGCAGCTTTAACCACAGAACAGAGGAAGACCAATGCACCTCCCACACTAAATCTTGTTGCCTCAACCTATCAGGCACAAGAGCACGCCCACAAGGAGATTCTCTGTCTTGCCACTTCACTCCATACTAGGTATCCAAAGATCAGAAGCACAGGGATGAAGTGCAGCCAGAAATTTAAAAGCATCCCCTTTATATTACATAGAAAAAGCCCCAAACAGTAGATGCTGGGCTCTTTCACATAAATCTAGTTAATCCCACTATCTCCTTCTTGCCTATATCACTACAATGTTTTTCCTTAAAATATTGCTCCAAGTTCCTCTCAAAAGCTACAATTGAATTAATTCCATCACCCCCTCAGACTATTTTGCAGGAACCTACATTTGCAGCCATGCAGTAGGATGAAAGCTAATCCACGTGCCTTTTGTTCCGAGTCAAACACTGCATTTCACATTGAGGGTGAAGAAGGGTCCCGACTTGAAACATCAAATTTCCTGCATTTCTGAAGAAGGATCCCGACCCGAAATGTCAACTTTCTAGCTCCTCTGATGCTGCCTGGCCAGCTGTGTTCCTCCAGCTCCACACTCTGTTATCACTGCATTTCACATTATTTATATGCAACGTAAACATACTACACACTGAAAAAAAGGTTATGCAAAACAAAAGGAGCTTTCCAAAGCCTAATAATTCAATGCATTGAAATGTTTTATCTCACGTATCCTTAAGTCCTTTAGCCAACCACTTTAATTGCTGTCTTCTACATATGAACTCTTCAGGCAATGAAAATAGTTTATATCTTTTACTTTGTCCAATCCCTTTATAATTATAATGTGGAGGTGCCAGTGTTGGACTGGAGTGAACAAAGTCAGAAGTCACACAACATCAGGTTATAGTCCAACAGATTTATTTTAATCACAAGCTTTCGGAGTGCAGCCCCTTCTTCAGGTGCAGTGACTGCACCTCACTGCACCTGAAAAAGGAGCTGTTCTCCGAAAGCTTGTGATTTCAAATAAACCTGTTGGAATATAACCTGGTATACTGTGACTTCTGATTTCATAATTATAAATAGTTTTATCAAATCTCTGCTTAGCTTTCACTGTTCAAAGGAGAGCAACCTGAACTCCTCCAGTTTACTGTAATCTCTTAACTTCGGTCTTAATCCATGCTAAAGCTTTCACTTTTTTTTCCAATGTCTGTAAACAAAATTTGACATAAATGGAGGAATTTCATCAATACAATGGGTATCTCAGCCGTCAACTGGAGTTTCATCAAGTGATCCACATTGACTCCCTTAGGGAAGGCCTGAATTACAAGCCAATTAGGTAAGTGATTGACCGAAAGCAGACTTTCCAAAGGAACAGGACCCCACGGGTAGAAGTCCCACCTGCAAAACAAATAAGAGTTTGGCAGGTTTTTTCCTTAATAGCTTGAATAGGAGGCAATGTCTTCAACTGGACAATAACTATGTTGCCCAGGATTGCAGAGTAACCCAGGCCAGAGTTATGTGATGACCAAAGGGGTTTTAAGAGTTGGGGGCTGCAAAAGAGGGAAAGGAACATGGTGGAACCAAGGGAAGGGAGATGGCTCTCAGCTGGCACTATTCCACTCCTCGCTGAGTCCTGCACTATGTCTTCGAATGAGGGTCCCCAGGAGACCCAAACAACCCTACAAGCTTGCTTGTCATGCTCCCCACATTGCTGCAGGCCCACCTACAACAGGTTTATCACCAGTCGAAGCAGGATAATGGCCCTTAAATGGGCATTAATTGAATGTGATTACGGTGGAATCACAAAATTCCCTCCCACCATCAAGCCCACCAATGGAAAAGAACATAAAATAATACCTATTGTTCCTATTATAATGTTTTTATACAAGTTTAGTGTAATTGCCCACATTTCATACTGTTTATACAGCTCATAAGCTTTATCAATTACTTCAACTTGCCCTACCATCTCAAAGTCTTATGCACGTACAAATACACCCAGCTACCAGGGTTTTTAACTCTCCTTTAATTGTATTGCCCCTCATTTTTTCTACATGAAAGAAAATAAAATAAAATACATTACAGTGGCTCTCAGCAAGTAAGACACTCCAAGCTTCTTGTCAAAAAAGTGTAACAATTGTTGCAATGAGAAAGCATAGCAGTAAACACAGTAAAGCACAGTGGCTCAGTGGTTAGCACCATTGCTTTACATTCCTAGGGCCCTGCCTTCGATTCCACCCTCAGCCTACTGTCTGCATGGAGTTTGCACATTCGCCCTGTTTCTGTTTGGTGCTCCAGTTTCTTCCCACAGTCTAAAGATGTGCAAGTTTGGTGGATTGGCCATGCTAAATTGCCCATAGGGTTCAGCAATGTGTGGGTTAGCCATGGGAAATGCAGGGATAGGGTAGAGGAATAGGTCTGGGTGGAATGCTCTTTGGAGGGTTGATGTTGGGCCCAATGGCCTGTTTCCACACTGTTGGGATTCAATGATAAATTTGTGCTACATGCAGCATTAAATAAAGAATGAATGTGTTTGAGTGATCTTCCCTAACAGATACATGTTGACCATGTCAAGAGAACAACGCAGCTTTCTCGCAAATACTGGGTAGTACAATGTAATCTTTTATGGCCATACTGGGCCCAGTTTTAACATCTTTTCAGAAAGACAGCTCCACCTTTAGAGCAGTTTTAGTTTGTTTTTGGCCTGACAATGTCATCTCAGGTTATGATCTCAAGACTCCAGAATGGTCTTGAATCTACAACCCAACAACCGTGAATAACCATAATCAGACTGCTGCCATCCTAGAAAATAAAAATTTGATTAAAAATTATGAGATTTTGCTGAGGCCAATAAAAATGTTGCAAGGAAAGATTCTTCATTATTTGAAATTATACCAAGATGTAATTGGATCCGAAAGTTGAGATTTCTAAAGTTTAACAGGGAATCCTTTTGTTCCAGTTTGAATCTTGTGCATGTGTGGACTTACACTCACGATTTTTTTGGAGGAACGTAGTCACATAAATTATTCGTTTTGTAATCATGTACTTGTTGGTTTATATTACTCACGGACTCCGACTACCTCGATGCTTTGCAGCCATTGTTTTGAATTCTTCTCATAAAACATAAACCTAAATCCACATGAAGATCTTTAGAAAAATATTAACCCCTGTGCTCAACAGCATCTTTACCACTGAAAATGGTCAATCAAAAGCATTCAACGGATCTACAAGGTTTTGAATTTTTAAAACATCCTATCGGTTTAGTATTCGGAAAAAAAACACAAATCAAATTACCAAAACACATTAAAATTCGGCACTGTGCCTTAGGGGGCTCCACCGACTTAACTGAAAGTTTTTGACCAGATCAGGAATCTCTTCCCCCGCAGCAGTTGTTTACCCTCACCCTAGACTGGGCTGCAGCAGGCCAGGCCGTCCAGCTGCAGATCTGTAAATTCAAGCGAGCGCCAGAGGATCAGTCTCAAGATCAGGAGAATAATAACATAAAAAGGCAGAGTAAACGTGACTGGAAGCACGGACAGCTGCACTTTAACACTCCATCAACCTTTCTCTGTCTCACTCAGGGACGGGACAATGCCTCACCGAAACCACGGCCAAGGCCTCGCCGCTTTGCGGTCACCGTCCAATCAGCGCGCGGAACAGCCGCCGTTCATCATATCGCGAGAGCTGGATGGAAAGGGAACAGATCGCTCAGCTGATTGATTCATTCATTCATTCATTCACTCACCGCGACTACAGGTCGTTGCGCGGAAGGAAGAATGCCCACTCTATTTTAACTTATCTCCAAGGAGATTCCAACCCCACCAGTCTTGACGGTGTTCATGCATTGATTCGGTCTTTACTACTTTAGTTGGAAGCCTGATGCACAGAAAAATAGAAAATTGCATACGCTGAGCACTCCTTTCTAAAGATTTTCCCCGCTACCGGCAGTTAAATTACTTGTTTGAACCTATGAACTCTAACTTTAATCCCACATTTTAATTTGGAATGTTATCTTTAAAATAACAAACGGGTGATCCATCTCAGCTTCCTGAGTGGTCCCCAATATCACAGATGCTCGTCTTCAGCTAACTCAGTTCACTCTGTTTCAAGAAATGACTGAAGGCATTGGATACTACAAACGCGATGAGCCCTGACAATATCCCAGCAGTAGTTCTGAATAATTGTGGTATAGAACTAGCTGTACCCTCTCGGCAAGCTCTTTCAGTACAGCTTCAAAATTGACATCCATCCAATTTAACACAACCTCCACCACTAAATGGCAATGTTCAGATAAGGCACTGAGTAGGGCAGCTGGAGCAGTTGTACCAGGACCTCCAGCAGCAACTGGTAATGGTGAGGGATGATGCCAAGTAGGGCAGAGGAGCATTTGAACAGAACCCCTGGATGAAGAGTGTCCTTAATAGAAGGAGGCCTCTGGGTAGAAGGATCAGACAGGCAAAGAATTGTCTCAACCAGATGTAAACTACAGATGTAATACTATGACTTCGATGATTAACCTTAATTTCTTTCATGTTTGTAATGACCTGATGCCCGTGGAATAAAGAGCCATTGTTGAATGATCTTTGTGCCCTCCGTGTGTTCAAATCTCATGCTACAATAGCAATAGAATACAATACAATACAGCACAATAAAATGCCCTTCAGCCCACCAAGGCTGCGCTGATTCCTAGTCCTTATTTAGAACTGCTGCTTATTGCCCACGTGTGATACCTAACCCTCAGATTTGATTTAATTTGATTTATTATTGTTTCATGTACCTAGGTACAATGTAAAGTTTTGTTTTGCATAAAGTACAGGCAGATCATACTATAAAAAGTGCATTAGGGTAATAGAACAGAGCAAAGAATAGAACGTTACGGCTGCAGAGAAGACATACAAAGAACGAGATCAACATTAACTTTAAAATTTAGGAGATCCATTCAGAAATCTAATAACAGTGGGGAAGAAGCTGTTCTTGAAGCTGTTGGTATGTGGGTTTAAGCGTTTGTATCTTGTGCCTGACCATGTCAAGCTATACCTTAAATTTTGATAACATGCCTGTTTCCACCATCTCCATTGGCAGTGCATTCCAGGCACCCACCATTCTCTGTGTTAAAAATTCTTCCTGCACTTCTCCCCTAAACTTTCCCCTCTCATCTTGAACCTGTGCCCTCCTGTAGTTGACCTTTCCACACTGGGAAAATGCCTCTCACTATCCACCCTAACTATGTCTCTCATAATTTTGGTGACCTCTATCAGGTCACCCATCAGCCTCCATTTTTCCAGTGAAAACAATCCAGGTTTATCCAACCTCTCCTCATAACTAAAACCCTCCAGACAAGATAAATCTTCTCTGCACCCTCTCCAAAGCATCCATGTCCTTCTGGTAGTGTGGCAACCTGAACAGCACGTAATATTTAAAATGTGGCCTAATATGGAAAATCACTTTATTAAAACCGAAAAAACTGTGGATGCTGTAAATCTGCAACAAATCAGAAATTGCTGGAAAAGCTCAGCAGGTCTGGCAGCATCTGTGAAGAAAAAAATCAGAGTTAACATTTAGGAGGGTGAATAGTTGTTAATGGGAATTGTTAGTGACTAACAATAGGTAGTGTGCAATGGCAGGCTATGTGATAACAAGGCCTGCGAACAGTGTAGATGTTCTGCAAAGCGGTCACCCAGAATACGCTCGTTTCCCCAATGTAGAGGAGACCCCATTACGAGCAGTGAATGCAGTAGACTAGATTTTGGGAAGTGCAGGTGAAGTGTTGCTTCACCCGGAGGGTATGTTTGGACCCTTCGGTACTGGGAGGGAGGAGGTAAATGGGCAGGTGTTGCACCTTCACTGGTTGCAGAGGAAGGTGACGTGGGTCTGTGAGGTGGTGTTGGGGGTGCAGGAAGAGTGGAACTGGATGGAACAATCTTTGTGGAAGGCAGACAAGGGAGGGGAGAGGAATATGTGTCTGGTGGTGGTATCTCATTGGAGGTGGCGGAAATGGCGTCTGATGAACTTCTGGATGTGGATGCTGGTGGGATGGTAGGTAAGGACAAAGGGAACCCTATTGCTTTTGCGGGAGGGAAGAGAAGGAGAGAGGGCGGACGTGCGGGAGATGGGTTGGACCTAGTTGAGGGCCCTGATGACAACAGTGCTGGGGAATCCTCAGTTGAAGAAGAAGGTGGACATTTCGGAGGCTCCCTTGTTGAAGTTCACCTTATCTGAACATATGCGACGGAGATGGAAGAACTGGGAGTCTTTACAGGAAGCAGGTTGTGAGGATGTATAGTCCAGGTAGCTGTGGGGGTCAGTGATTTTTAGTGGACATTAGTGACCAGTCTATCCCCAGAAATGGAAACAGAGATGTCGAGGAAGGGAAGGGAGGAGCCCCAACAGCATCCACATCCAGAAGATCATCAGATGCCATTTCCGCCACCTCCAGTGAGATGCCACCACCAGCCACATATTCCCCTCTCCTCTCTTGTCCGCCTTCCGCACGGACCATTCCCTCCGGAGCACCCTGGTCCACTCTTTCTTCACCCCCAACACCACTCCCACAGTCCCACGGCACCTTTGCCTACAACCTGCCCATTTACCTCCTCCCTCCCCACTATTCAAGGGCCCAAACATACCTTCCAGGTGAAGCAACACTTCACCTGCACTTCCCAGAATCTAGCCTACTGCATTCGCTGCTCACAATTGGTCTCCTCTACAATGGGGAAAGGAAGTGTAGACTGGGTGACTGCTTTGCAGAACATCTACGTCCTGCTCGCAAAAAAGACCCTGAGCCACCTGTTGCCTGCCACTTTAACACACTACCCTGTTCCCTGGCCAACATCTCTGTCTCTGGCTTGTTGCAGTTTTCCAGCAAAGTTCAATGCAAGCTGGAAGAACAACACCTTATTTTCCACTTGGGGACCCAGCAGCCCTCTGGACTCAATATTGAGTTCAATAATTTTAGGGCCTAAACTCTCCCTAGCCCCCTACCCCACACCCCAGGCCTTGTTATCACATAGCCTGCCATTACCCACTACCTATTGTTTGTCACTAAAAGTTTCCATTAACAGCTATTCACCCTCCTAGCCAGATCATTATCAACTCCTTTGTCTATCCAACTGCTGTTCTCTCTCTTTGGGCTCTATCCTATCATTTACTCCCTACCCCAGCCGCTCCCTATTTTCTGCATATAAACCAACATTTTCCCAGCTACCATCAGTTCTAAGGAAGGGTCAGCGGACCCGAAATGTTAACTCTGGTATTTTCTTCACAGATGCTGCCAGACCTACTGAGCTTTACAGCAATTTCTGTTTTTAACCTGCTCACAAATTGGCTTCCAACTAGGCCACTTGCATCCTGACTACATTATAGCCTTGGTCCAAGCATGGACAAAAGAACTGAATTTCAGAGATGAGGAGAGAATTCTTCATAACATCAAGGCCATGTGAAACATAAGAAATATGAAGTCATTGGGAATTGGGGCAAAAGCTTAAATATTGGATTCATGCCTGGCACAAAGTGGAGTTGAAATTGAAGTCCCAGGTACACAGGATAATGAAGAAGCCGTTTTGTATTCTTGCCTTTATTGATCAGTTCATTGTTTATAGGGATTGGAAGATCATGTTACGGCTTTACAGGACATTGGTTAGGCCACTTTTGGAATAGTACGTGCAATTCTGGTCTCCCTGCTATAGGAAAGATATTGTGAAACTTAAAAAGGTTCAGAAAATATTTAGTAGGATGTCAGAAAGTTTAGCTGGAGCTATTTTCCCTGGAGGTTGAAGGATGACCTTATAGACGTTTATAAAATTATGAGGGGCATAGATAGGGTGATAGCCAAGGTCTTTTCCCCAGGGTGGGGGAGTCCAAAACTAGAGGGTATAGTTTTAAGGTGAGAGGGAAAAGAGTTAAAAGGGATCTTAAGGGGCATCTTTTCACACAGAGGGTGGTGCATTTGTGGAATGAGCTGCTGGAGGAAATGGTGGAGGCTGGTACAATTACAACATTTAAAAGCATCAGGATGGGTATATGAATGGAGATAGTAGGAACTGCAGATGCTGGAGATCTGAGATAACAAGGTGTAGAGCTGGATGAACACAGCAGGCCAAGCAGCATCCGAGGAGCAGAATGGCTGACGTTTCGGGCCTACACCCTTCTTTCAGAGATAGTAGGAACAGAAGGTTTAGAGGGATATGGACCAAATGCTGGCAAATGGGACTAGATTAATTTATAATATCTGGTCGGCATGGGCAAAGAGTGGCAGATGGAATTCAACCCAGTAAAGTGTGAAGTGATTCATTTTGGAAGGTCGAATTTGAATGCAGAATACAGGGTTAATGGCAGGATTCTCGATAGTGTGGAGGAACAGAGGGATCTTGGTGTCCACGTCCATAGATCCCTCAAAATTGCTACACAAGTTGTTATGGTTATAAAGAAGGCGTATGGTGTGTTGGCTTTCATTGGCAGGGGAATTGAGTTTAAGAGCCGTGAGGTTATGCTGCAGCTCTATAAAACTCTGGTTAGACCACACTTGGAATATTGTGTTCAGTTCAGTTTTGCCACCTCATTATAGGCAAGACGTGGAAGCTTTAGAGAGGGTGCAGAGGAGATTTACCAGATGCTGCCTGGACTGGAGGGCAGGTCTTATGAGGAAAGGTTGAGGGAGTTAGGGCTTTTCTCACTGGAGCAAAGGAGGATGAGAGGTGACTTGATAGAGATGTCCAAGATGACGAGAGGCATAGATAGAGTGGATAGTCAGAGACTTTTTTCCAGGGTGGAAATTACTTTTACGAGGGGGCATAATTTTTAGGTGATTGGAGAAAGGTATAGGGGAGATGTCAGAGATAGGTTCTTCACACAGAGAGTGGTGGGGGTGTGGAATGCGCTGCCAGTAGTGGTAGTGGAGTCAGATACTTTAGAAACTTTTAAGCGACTCTTGGATAGGCACATGGAAGACAGTAAAATGTAGGGTAGATTGATCTTAGTAGGATAATAGTTTGGCACAACATCATGGGCTGAAGGGCCTGTACTTTGCTGTACTGTTCTATGTTCTATGTTCTATGAACAAGTTGGACCGAAGGGTCTGTTTCCATGCTGTGCAGCTCTATGACTGTATGACAAAGTAGTGGTTGTTAGAAGCCAATATTCTCAGTCACAGGACATAACATGACTGTTTGTTGGAGGCTGCTGTGTGCAAATTGGCTGTTGTATTTCCTACTTCAATGACTACTCTTCCAAGGTACTTAATTGACTGCACTTTGAAATCATTGGTGATTATTAAAGGCATTATATAGCTGCAAGATTTTATATTTTTGGTGATATCGCCACTTTGGTTACCTATTAGCTCTTAATTCAGTCCTTCCTAACATCAATTCCTAATACCAATTGTCTTCCATTCTCATGATATAAATTATGTTGACCATCTTACAGCATGCTGATTAATTTCTGCCATGCTGTATTAACATACATAACTTCTGATCATAGTAAATTAGTATTAGAATTCACTCAGGATATTGAATGCTGTCAGTTCAGAAGGTAGAAAGTATCAAGCTGTGGCCATGCTTCATTAGGTTAAACATGTTAATG